TCCTTGAAGAAGTAGAGAAGAGTCACAGCTGAAATGTCAGGTTTTGCCTTTAGAAAAGTTAAAAATAGCCTGCTACTCTGACCAACAGCTCAGGCTGCCAGTGTAGGATGGGCAGTGGCTATCTCTTGACCTTCAGTAATTCCCACAAGTGGCTGCTGAAAGCCTCTTTGCTCCTTCGTGTGATATCTCATGGAGTCCCAGAGCTGACCTGACATCAGAGCCTGGTAAAAATTCTGTGCCTGAGACAGCTAGAGCCTGTGGCAGGAATGAGAGATTACAGACAAGACTGCAAATTCAAGGTCTCTGGAGATCAGAGCAGGTCCTGAGACCTGGTCGTTGTTGATTCGAGTGTTGCGATGGGGAGAGGACCATCACTTTGGGCGTCAGCCCTTTGAGATATGCCAGGCAATCAAATGAAACTGGTTTTCCCAGAATTATTTTCCAGGAAAATGGGAAAGGGGGAAAGGGCCTGGGACATTGAGTCAGACAGGAAGTGACACTGGTTGAGGGGCAGGGGGCCAGAGCCATCTTACCTCCCTAATTTGGGTGTGTTTGCTTCCTCAACTTTAGGCCTTTTCCATTTTTCATTGGTTGATCAACACCTGCTTTTATCAGACTCTTTAAACCTCTGCGTCATTGCAAGAGATGCCAGGAGCATGTTTTTCTCATATTTATTGTTCTTAGGAAAGAATTCTTTTTTTTTCCCCAGCTTTTTTTTCTTTTTCTTTTTTATTAAGGTATTATATGTGTACATACATTACCAATCCCTACCCCACCCCCACTCCCATACATGCCCTCCCTCCCCAGAGTTTTTCATCCATTGGTTATGCTTATATGCATAACCAATCTTTGGTTAATCTCTTATCTCCCCCATATCTCCCTCACCTCCCTGCTGTAATTTGACAGTCTGTTTCTTTTACTGTCTCTGTATCTATCTTTTTGTTCATCAGTTTATAATATTCTTTATTATTCATAAATGAGTGAGATCATGTGGTGTTTTTCTTTCATTGACCGGTAGGAAGAGATCTCAAAGAACAGTGAACAATGGCCTGGCCAGGTCCCTGGACCAGCTAGCTACCCAGAGGGTCAAGTATCCCTGCATCTGAGCTAGAGGAAGGCATCTATACAGCTGTATCACAAACAGCCTCCCAGAGCAGCCCGTGGGGGAAAGTAGAGGTCAGAAAAGCTTCCTTATGCAAAGAAGACTGGTTTTGTCCTCTCTTTGCTATGTGAAGTGCACCTCTTAGGAACCAGGGCTGTTGTTCCCAGAGGTGGTAAGCCATTGGCCAGCATCACCAAAGGAACCCTTTTACAGTGCTTGGGTGGCAGTGTGCATGGTATAATGCCGTGGTCGGCAAACTGCGGCTCTCGAGCCACATGCAGCTCTTTGGCCCCTTGAGTGTGGCTCTTCCACAAAATACCACGGCCTGGGCAAGTCTGTTTTGAAGAAGTGGTGTTAGAAGAAGTTTACGTTTAAAAAATCAGGCTCTCAAAAAAAATTTCAATTGTTGTCCTGTTGATGTTTGGCTCTGTTGACTAATGAGTTGGCCGACTGCTGGTATAATGGAAAGAGCAGAGCTCAAAAGTCACCTGGCTCTGATGAACCTGATGACTTCCTGTTCTCTTCCACTGAAGGTTCTAGAATAAGTTGGGCTTCCTGGAATGTGGACTCCTCTTCACAGGAGTCACAAACTCAAAGTCACAGGCAGGAGTGGGGATGAGTGGTGCTGACCTACTACAGACAAACTAGGAGACTCAAGTTCTTGAGGGGGCAGCTCCCCTCAGTGTTGGTGGAAATTTACTATAAAGGATGCCAGGATCAAAGACCACCCTGCAGCCCTACACTACTCCCTTGAGCTGCAAAGCTGAGTCCCAGCTCTAGAAGGCCACACCAAGCACCTCGATCAGCCTACTCAGCCAGTGTGTAACTTCTGATCTCCACTGCTTCTCTCATTTCATCCAAAGCACGAATCACAATCCTCCACTTTTTAATTTTTTTGGTTAAAATAGTTACACTTCATTATACTAGAAGGCCCTGGTGTTGCTCAATTGTGTTTGTGTGTGTGTGTGTGTGTGTGTGTGTGTGTGTATGTGGGTGAGTGTATGTGTTTGTGTGTGTGTTTGAGAGTGTGTGTGTGTGTGTGTGTGTGAGAGAGAGAGAGAGAGAGAGAGAGAGAGAGAGAGAGAGAGAGGTATGTGTGTGTGTATGTGTGAGTGTGTGTGTGTGTGTGTCGGTGCTACAGCTTGCTCCAAAGCCATGGCAGGAACAAGCTAGAATAGCACAGGCAATTAATTACCTTATCCCACAACCTCCTGAAAACATGTTAACTTTATAGATTTTTTTTAAATGAGTCTTCCCTGTGTCTCCTTCTACCCAAACCCTAGCCTGCTTTCTCAAAACCCTGCACTTTCTTTAGGGGATACTGTCTCTCCTCTATTCCTACCACTACCACTTCAATATGGCGCTCTCAGCAGCATCACTAAGAGAGCTCACCAGCCCTGGCAAGGTTGCTCAATTAGTTGAAGTATTGTCCTGTATACCAAGAAGTTGTGGGTTTGATTCCTGGTCAGGACACATAACTAGGTTGCGAGTTAGGTGCCCAGGATCCCAGGTTGAGGCACATATGGAAGGCAACCGATCAGTGTTTTTCTATCTCTCCCTTCCTCTCTCTAAAAATCAATAAATATATCCTTGGGTGATCATTAAAATAAGAGAGAGAGAAAGATCACCAAATCCCACTTGTCTAAGCATTCCCCAGTTAAGCTCCTAATTTGAGAAACATGAGAACTAAGCTGATTTCATTCAAGCATGCCTAATGTCTTTTAACCTGGTCAGCATTAAATCAGATACTTTGGGTCTATAAGCCACTTGGCATCAAAGGAAAGCTTTCTGCCCAAATCCTTGACTGAGGCAGAAACCTATTCTCCATGTTCTGTTTATGTAAGGGGAGGATAGCTCAGATGTGGCCTCAGGTTGGCTCAGGAGCTATGACTTTGCCCAGGTTTGCAACTGAAGACTAAAAAACACAAGGACCTCAAGCCATCTTCCCCAAGTCTCTGAGGGAGTGCTGGTGGCTTGACCAGGATGTTGGAGCCCTCCTCCTGGCCAGTGGGCCCCCCGACCACCAGACCACACAGTTGGTGCTTAACGGGCACTCAGCAAACCTCAAGCTCCAGGCCCCAAGAAGCAATTTCCAAAAACAGAGCCCTCTTTGTGAACAATTCAGCAAAAATTCTCTCTCCAGCTGTGAGCTGGGATTCATGTCGAAAATGTTGGTGTTAATTAAAAACATCCACCTTTTCAGTTTCAGTAAGAGAAAAGCACCATGCAGATGGGATTTCAGCATTCTCTCCCCAGAGCACTTACAAATACGACTGGATTTATGACCGGGTGCAGGGAGTTCATTCTTAATTTTCAGTTCCCCAAAACAGAACTGGGGTCAAGGAGATGGATGTGATGAGTCCAAATTGGCACAGAGGAAATTGGCATCTGAAGAAACAAGAGCCCGGCCGGTGTGGCTCAGTGGTTGAGCATCAGCCTATGAACCAGGAGGCCACAGTTTGATTCCAGTTCAGGGCACATGCCCGGGTTGCAGGCTCGATCTCGAGTAGGGGGCATGCAGGAAGCAGCCAATCAATGATTCACTCTCATCGTTGATGTTTCTATCTCTCTCTTGCTCCCTCTCTAAAAATCAATAAAAATATATTTTTAAAAAGAAGAAGAAACAAGAATACTGTTCCTATCCAGAGCATCAGGAAAGATTGTTCAACTTCCTGTGTTAGTATCAGGAACTTGACCTAGATGAAATCAGATGTTTATCTGCTGAGTCATTAAAAATTGTCTTCACGTCATCGACATCCTTCAGATATGAAGAAAATGAGGTGTGATAAGGCCAGAGACATTTCGTGAATTCAATAACTGGAATGTGAGCTTGATCATACTTCCCTACATTCTTATTGCAGTTCTCACTTTTATTGGGAAAATGTTATCCGGAACGATCCCGAGCTAATGAGATCAGCAAGACATAGCTGCAACCCTTCCTGAGCTTCTGTGGTTGGTTCATTTGTCCCACTTCACACAGGCACCAGACAGGTAAAGAATCGAGCCACACCCACCTCGTTATAAATGAATTTCTTTGTCTTTAATCTCACACAGTTTAAAATACAATATGAAATCAGGCTACAGTATATAAAAAACTCTCCAGCAAAATGATGTGCCAGCATCAGCTACTAAAATACACAAACAAAAACTCCCCCCATAAGAAATTTTTTTTGCATTAAAAAAAAACCACATAGAAGACACTTACATCGCTACATCTCTAAGCTACCTCAGTTCTGATTTTTAAAAAGCACCTGCTTTTCCTTTTTTTTTTCATCTTGCTTTTAAATGTTCAGCTTTTTAAAAAATATAAATTATATGAAAATACAAGTTGGAAAATAGTCAAACACAATATAACATCTTTTTTTACCACTATATTTCTCAGCTTACAAAAAAAAAGTATTCTTAAAAAAAGTTCAATAACTGAGGCAGTATTCCTGATAGAGATAGTTTCATTTCCATATATAACTTTCATATATGTATCTGGATACATATAGTTAATGGTTCCTTGAAACTTCTTTGGAATGTAGATATGAGCTAACACATTTATATAGACCCCAACGGAGAAAGCAGCATGCACAGCATGGCTAGAAGAGAGGGGGTGACCTTTGCACCCTGAAGACAGGCAGGTTAATGCTCTAACACCCAGAGAGCTCCTTTCCAAAGTGAGGAACAGCACATCTGATCCTGGAATGCTACCTCCAATCCCCATCGCCACCCAACAGGGCTCCGTACAGAAAAGTCCCAGAGCGACCTCTGACCCCACAGCCAACAATGACGTGGGTGAAAGCATCTCCAAGAAAACAAGGGTTTCCCCCGGCTACATCAGATTTGCCCATCCTTCTTCTGAAGCTAACGTGTGTGTGTGTGTGTGTGTGTGTGTGTGTGTGTGTTTTAAAAAAAAAAAAAGCATAAATGCAACAATTCTGCTGCATTTCCAGTGTATAAACCACCCACCATTCTTCCTGGGATGGTCTCTGGCCTTTGGACAGAAGGAGAAAAAGGCATCTGGCCAGATCCACAAAGCGATCTTCACTAACAAACTATCTATAAATACTGAAAATGGTGGACCTGCAGAGAAAGGCCACGCAGCGAGCAAGTGGGCTGGGGAGCGCGGCAGGCACTTGCTTACATTGGAGCTGCTGGGGGTGGCTGCAGGGGTTAGACACTTGGATCAGGAAAGGTTGATGAGTTGGGAAAGCCATTGTATGCCTGGATGCAAACAGCAAGCCATGACTGATGCCCAGCCTTGGTTCTACCTGCGCCCATTATTAAAACGTGGAAAGGCATACCTGGAAAACCCAGGTATTATCTTAGCTGCAGTTGTGCATGTCTGCAAACACACAGGCACACACATGCATATACATGCACACGCTCACACATGCACACAGGCACACGCACACCTGTGCCCAACAAAGATCAAATAACCTAAGAGAAAACCATGGAGTCCAACAGTTCCACCTACCCTCCCTGAGCAGCTCCTAAAACATTTTGAGAACTTCATTAAGGCACCTGCATTTGGAAGAAGATCAAAATACACAGCTGGGCGGATTCTGCCTTGGCTTTCCAAGTAAGCACTCTGCTTTATCAGCGTGAGTCAGGGTCTCAAGAGGATCTGGAGAAAACCATCCACTTTCCTGAAGATCCATCTGAGGAGATTAGCACTTCCAGTGTCTGTGCTAGAGCCCCGAGAAGCCAGCCCTGAGAAGCCCACCTTAACCGCTTCTTCCTCGCTCACTGCAGTCTGCAGAGCCCTCCCACTGCCTGCGCCCTTTTTAATTGGGCATCTCTGTCTTGGTGGGGATTCTGATTGAACGAGGGTCTTGTCCTCACTAGTTCGATGTTGGTCCTCCCCCTAACCCAAAACCCCATTTTCAGATTACCCTTTGCAACTGCCTCAGTTGTTTCCATGATGGGGGAATAAAAATATATTCACAGCTCATGGACCACCTAATTGTCTTCATTCAAGCTCCTTTTCTTATGTTTCCTTTGCCTTCTGGTCATTCCTCTCTTCTGCAATTATGAGCCTTCACGTACCCTGTGCCACGACAGCGGTCCAAGTGCAAGACCCGAACAGCAGCTGCACCGTTTGCTCTGCATGCATGGTCTTAACTGGATGGACACTCCATTCAACTAGCCTAAGTTCTTCAAAGGAAAGCCTTGCCCTTCTCCTCTGGAAGACAGCCAAGCCACCTTTTGCCTCTAGGCGCCCGTAATTTCCATTGCTCCAAACACCCAATGCAACTCAATGGCCTTATCAGACACTCTTCAACTCATGTCTGTTGTCACTCGTTTACTCCCCAATCAGAAAGCTTTACATTTTTCTGCACTGAATAAGAGTGGGGGGTAAGCAAGAAATATGGGAGGCTGAAAGGATGAGACATAAAAGATTGTGTTAGTCAGGAATAACATGCATTCAGGACTTAACTTCCTAAGATCCAAGGGGTAATGCCCATGCACACAGCTTCAATTCCGAGTCAGAGGGAAAGAACCAATAAAGGACCAAGTCCACCTTCCTTCTCGGATGTCCTTTCCAACAGCGCTCTGGATTCACTGTGGTCCCCAACCAGGGCTGCCAAATACATTCAAGTTCAAAGCTTAATGCTTCTCAGCTCAACATTAAGTCTAAAGCCCAAGAATCCACTCATGACAAATACATTGAGGGGCATGATGGTCACTTTTGAAAAAAAAAAAAAAAAGTTGACATTCACAGGCACAGGTCCCTTGTCCCCAAACCAGCATCCTTTGTTCCTTCATCTATAAAGCCACCGGGATCTGGGGTCCAATCTCGGTGACAGCACTTTGCCTTTCCAGTGGGGTCTATATAAACAGTTTCCTTTCACTGTGACAGAATCCTCAGCTGGCAAATAAAAACAACCTTGCAATGATATTGCAATACTGAGACCACCTTAGAGCTTAAGACGATTTTTAAGGAGAAAAAAAAAAATACTGGCACAAGATTTAATAAAATAAATTTCAACACAAATACAGTTTTGGTCCCTCCCCACTGAAGTCCATCTTTGTTTTAAAAGTAGAGTAAAAGGTAAATAGTCCTTGGGTTTTGTGCTCTCCCTCCCCAAATTGTCCTACCCTCACCTCCCTCTTTTTTGCCCGCCCAGACCTAAAAACAGAAGCAAACGAATTGCCCTTCATCCATGTCATGACCCCTGATGCCTCCATTGCTTATGCTACGTAAGTTCATAACTTGAGGCACTTTTTTCATGGATGATTTTTAAAAATGATTAGACACATGCGTCTTGTCCTCCCTCCAGCCAGATTCTTCAAGCTTCTAAGGAGACCTTTCTCTCTCCTACAAATTTTCTTGAGAATTTGTCCCACCCACCCCACCAGTCCTAGCTCTCCTTTGCCAACCACTCATAATCGACTATAGCTGCAATTCACTTAGCTCCCACCCCTGAATGTAAAACAAAAAAATGAGTCTGAAAATTAAAAATAGAATAACAATTAAAAATGAAGAGTCCAACTGACGCAGGTTTTTGAAATGTTTCAACAGAGTTTCCCTGGTGCCCCAAGTGCCCGTCACTCATCAGCGTCTGGCTTGACGTCCAGCATGGCGTGGAGCTCCTCAGGCGTGTATCCCAGGAGGCTCTGCAGGTCACATACAAAGCGGTAAACGTAGCGCTTGCCCGCCGTCTTGTGGATGATGTTTTTGTCATAGTAGTAGCGGAGGCCACGGCTCAGTTTCTCATAATTCATCTTGGGCTTGTTTTTCCTTTTCCCCCATCTCCTGGCCACCTGAAATTAAAAATGGGGGAAGAGGGTATAAAAACCTATAAAATAATCCAAATATGCATGTTGATATGCCTATAGCCATTCATGATGACCCATGATGTTTAAGGCAGTCCAGGTAAGAGGTTCATGTACATGGAGGATATTCTCCTAACTGATCTCTCCTGAACGCCAATGTAAAGGGTCAGGCAAGGATGGCTGGACCGCTAAATCTAAGTTGATGAAAACATAGTGACCCTGGACTTCTACATAATGGAATTAAAACAACAACAACAACAACAACAAAGGAATACAACACTGTAGACTCTATTCCATCCCTGTATCATTAAGAGAATGTTCCTGGCCTGGCTAGGGGTGCTCAGTGACTGAGCATTGACCTATGAACCAGGAAGTCACAGTTTGATTCCTGGTCAGGGCACATGCCCTGAGTTGCGGGGTTGATCCCCCAGTGTGAGGTATGCAGGAGGCAGTCCATCAATGATTCTCCTCATCATTGATGTTTCTATCTCTCCCTTTAAAATCAATAAAAAATATTTTTTAGAAAGAGAGAGAATGCCCCTGCTTTGAAAGCAGGAGCGCTCATCTGAGGAGCTGGAGGAGCGCTGATTTGCAGCCACGCCTGCCCTTCAACAACAGGATGCAGGTTTCTGTTCTGGGGCACGATTCTTCTCAGGTGTGCCACACACAGTGGCTGGTTCTCCATTTTTTATCCTCTGAATTGGGTATGGCAGTGAGCAACCACTCACTGAGCATTTGTTGCATCAAAGAATGGATTAATGAACAAATTGCACCCATTTTTCCAAAGCCTCTTGATTTGTCTGAGCCCTTTCAGATTCACAGAGCCGAGAGGCCAGGAGGAGGACTACGTAATAGAAGGCAACTCATATTCACAAAGAACAACTATGTGCCTGAGACCTAGGTGCATCCCATCAGGCATTCCAAGAACAATGGGCAAGGTAGAGATTTTTTCTATTTTCCAAGTGAAGAAACTAAGGCTCAGATGGGCTATGCAACTTGCAGGAGGTCACACAGGTAGCAAGTGGCAGAGTTGGGGTTGGAATCCTAGAAAATGTCATCGGAATCACACAATCTCTTCCAGAGTTCTCTTTGGCACGGCACTCTCGGCTCCCTCCCTCCTTACCTCATCTGGGTCAGAGAGCTTGAATTCCCAGCCATCTCCTGTCCAGCTGATAAAAGACTGACAGGACTTATCAGTGAGTAATTCCAGAAGAAACTGCCACAGCTGGATCGGTCCACTGCCTGGAAACACAAGGCATTGACTCATCACTCCAGAGGGCCAGCCCTCTCAGCCCTGGATCCCAGGACCCAGCTCTCCCTCTCCCTTGTCCATCCAGCCAGGAGAAAAGGCGGGCAACATACAGGACACAGGGAGGAGGCGCTATAGCTCACACAGACGGAGGAGGGGAAGACAGTCCCACCCAGAGGAGAAGAAAAACACAAGACTATATAGCAACTGCCTTCTGTGGAACAGCTGAAGGGTCAGGCCACATTTACTGCTAAACAAACTCTAGGAAGAAAACAGACTCTATCCTCTAAGGTAGGGGTGTCGAACTCAATCAGAGAAGGGGCCAAAATCTAAAATCCAGCCTAAATCGCGGGCCGAATGGTTTACTGAACAGTCATAAACTGTCATTGTGATGGAAACGCAGCGGAGTGCAGTGATGACAGCGCGGTGCGGGCCACATTGCAAGGCCTGGCGGGACGGATTTGGCCCGCGGGCCTTGTGTTTGACACGTGCTCTAAGGCAACATAGTCCTTTGTGCCTTTACAATTAAGTCATTTTGCCTCAAGAAGTGAAAAAAGGTATTAACCAAGAAGTGCCCGTTGCCAGTTCCAATCAGAAGGGAAACCTCAAAAGCACTCCTCTCTAGAGGGAGTCTTTGGCCCTGATTTGCAAGAGGGAAGATCATTATCCTAGGCTTACATAACAAGGACTTAGGTCATCATACTCCTCTCCAGCACCATCCTGTCTTCTCAGGTCACGTACAGGCAAACATCCAAACAGAGGAAAGAATCAAGCCTTCACTTTGTGAGGAATGAAGTTGCCACCCAGAAACCCTCGAAGGTCAGGTGATGACTATTAAATTCTTCCTGGGTCCAGTATATTCTAATTTACACACACACACACACACACGCATGCACATCCTCTTGTCTTAGCCAACAACACTGCCACTGTCATAGTTCTAGAAGGCCTGGTATACTCTGAATGCCAATTTATCTTATACTAAAAGATTCCTGCTACATAGATTTCCCTTTAGGATAAGTTTTTATTCAGAAATGACAATGCTGTCCTGGGAAGTGTGGCCCTATTGATTGGGTGTCATCCCATGCACTGGGGAACATGCCTGGGTTTCGTTCTCAATCTCAGTGGAAGGGTTTGGGGGACCTATCAGATGGATGTTATGTTTCCCCTCTCACATTCTCTCTCTTTCCCTCTCCCTTCCTCTCTCTCTCTTAAAAACCAATTTTGAAAATCTTAAGAAAGGACAATGGTGACTGATTCCTATGACCCATGAGTGCACCAGAGAGAGAAATACTGGCTCAACAGGCTATGCCTCTTTTGCCCTCAAACCATCTCAGAAGCCAGGGCAGGTCTGAGCTCACCCAGCCCATGCAGATGCAGGAGGCCTGGGATGCTCCAACTCACATCGAAAAGCCCGGCTTTTTAAACTTCCAACCCTTCACCTGAGTTTCAGATGTGTCTGATCCAAAGTAAACGGAGACCCAATCAAACACAAGCTTTGGGTTGGTTCCCTCCCCATCTAAAAAAGAAATGTCCTCTACGATCAATCAGGGCAACCTCTTCCTCTGTCTTTCAGGTCCACAAGGCTCGTGCATATGCATCACGTTGCTCGCTCCTTAAGTCCACCGCCCACTCCTCTTTACCTAAAGCACAGCGGCCTAGTTGTTCCCATTCTATCTGTGAAAGTGAAAAAGGAGCTCAGGAAAGTCCCGTTAGAAAACGGTGCTTCCGGGCCCAGTGTCCAGGCTGTCAGACTCCAGGCACAGGGCCACCTGGACAGACCCCTGTGAGGAAGCAATGACTGGTGTGTGCTGTGATCTGCCATCTGGGAAGTGCTCCTTCACTAACTGCTTCCTTGTGGTGGGCCCAGGGCTCCTCCCCTGCACACCCCACGCGAAACACGGAACCTGAACTATCACTGCCTCCTCCTTCAAAAAGGCACCTTGAGCTCCTTGAAACTGTCTTGCAAGAAATACCTTACCCAGCCTATAATGAAACGCTCCAGCAAAGGCCTACAAAACAAATGAACTTTAGAAAACATAGCCTTGAGGGCTGGACGACGTAAGCCTTATCCTCCTTCATCTCCATCCCTCCTGGAAAAACCACTGGGTAGGCCACTCACAGACATTTGCATGTTTCTTATAATTTGAGTTGAAATCACCAGCTAGTACTCCCTACCTGGGCTCATTGAACTAAAGGCAACATTATGTGAGGAAACCATTAAAAAGCCACCCTGATGGACAGAAGGTGTAAGAAGACAAATCTCTGTGGAGAGATGCTGTGGAATTTGTGTTAGAGAAAAAAAAGCAGCTGCAAAATCTCTTATGATATAATAGGCTTCCTGGTGAGGTACAAAATGACTGTACACCCACCAGGACCCCCGAGGAGAGACAGAAAGAGAAAGATTAACTGCCCCAGATTTATGTAAATGAACCCTGAAGTCTGCTGTCCTCATGTGAGTCAGATCCCCAGACCACAGATACAGGACAGAGGGAGGAGCTGCTTGAAGAACCTGGCAGAGTGCAATGCTCACAAGTGTTATGATTTTGTGCACACCTACTATGTACCGGACGCCGTGTTGATGCTTACACCCTTCTCCCTTACTCTTCACAGTAACCCCATGGGTAGCTGCTACTGTGAACGTGTTTCTTCCCATGTTACAGCACAGAAAACTGTGCAGCGTGCCCACCGGTGTTGGCCGAAGCCACTCACAACAGAAGTGGAACCCACGCAGCCTGACCCCCACATTCTGAGCTCAATACCACATCCACCCCAGAGAAGACTGCTTGGAGGCTGACATCGAATCGGCCTGCCTGGTCACACGAATCCAAGGGATAAAAGGACCGGGTTTTAAAAAACACCTTCTCTTCCTCACTTATCCCAGCAGCCACAGGACGACAGATAGCCAGGGACCTTGGCGTCCACCTTCACAGTCACTCTTCCAGCCCAGTTGGTTAGGTCCCCTGTGTTAGCTGTTCCTGTCATTCCTTCTCCCTCCCACCATTTACCTTAAAAGCTCCCTCACACGATTTATCTTAAAATCCCTTTAGGAAGGAGAAGGCTAGTGATACCAAGTGGAAGAACGGGAAGGAAGTACCAGCTTCTACCCGGGCAAGTCTAAGTCCAGGAGAAGAGGGCCCAGGAGCCCTCATGCCACCTCTCAGCTGGGCAGCCTTAATGTAGAGAGGGGACTAGTTCCCATCTAGGATCCCGTCCTAGAGGAAGGGTCGCACACAGAGGGCCTGTCGCTGGTCTTCCTGCCTGTGCCATTCTCTGGACTGAAGTATCCGCCTGGGCAGCATCTGCCGGGCCACACCCCCACTCTGTAGAGCTGAGCCCTGGTGTCTGCACACAGGGTCGGGGCCAGGGTGAGGCCCAGTCTGCAAAGAGCTATTCTCACTGTGGGTTCGCCTTTGTCCATAAAGAACATCACACTGTGACATTCGGGAGCCAGAGCCCGGGTCCCGGAGAGCCCTGAGCTCTAGTCTTTTCTTCTGGTGACACCAAAGGGAGGCGGGATCAGAGACAGGAGAGGCAGATGCCTGAAGCAAGCACAGGACCTGGGGAGGGGACGGTCAGCTGCTCCACTTCACAGTACCCCAGTCAGCACAGCGGTGGTCGGCTGCCTCTTCCCCCCAGGCCTTGAGGAAAACTATTGTGAGCCACCCAGTGTAGAGGGGCACCCATGGCTCTCAGTCTGGGCTTCCTGCAGGCCACTGCCTACCCTTCAGAAAGCCCATGTGGTGTGCTGAGCCCTGAATGGCCTCTTAGGTGTGGGAGCAGCAGAAACAAGCACATGGAATCTTCCCCCAGCAAGAAGGCCCCGGGGTGGGCTTGGACTAGTGGACAGCCTGACACACGATCCTATTTCCACAACCACAATGTGTCTTCCTCACTTCCGGTCGAGAAGGCCATCCAGGGCCACCTGGAGGCCCACAGCTTGGAGGGAGCTCTGGGCTGAGGGTGTACACTAACTCTGTAGACCCCCCCCCACCCCCCAGCAACATCCAAGTCTAGGAGCCTCATGTGCCCCAGACGTGTGCAAACACTCTGGATGCGGCCAGCACTCTGAGCGACAGGCCCGCCCACGGGTGTTTCTGTGTGGCTTGGTGTAGGTCCCCAGGGCCCAAGGGCTCCGTCCCTTACCCTTGCTCCACCATATCCTAACTTTGCAAAGTCTTCCCTTCCATTCTTCCTGCACCGCCTCTCACGCAGGGGCCCAGCCCCAGCCAGCCACCCCACCAGACTGGAGTCCCGGTGACCTTTGTCCCAGGGAGCAAAGAACGGTGCTAAGAATAGTGCCGTTCAAGGGCCGAGGGAGCTCACTGACTAAATGTGACTCACAATGGCGTCCCTGTCTGGGGGCCCCAGGCCGTCAAGGGCGGCCTTCAGCAGGCAGCCCGGGGTGTCACGCATCAGGAATCTGGTGGCATCACTGGGAGACTATGCCTCTCAAGTCGCAGCTCTGAGCCACAACAACAGAGGGGTCCCTGTTAGAAGGAAGCCTTTCTCCAAAGAAGTGGGGAAGGGCACCGCACACACCCACACCCACCCAACCCAACTCCCTGCGCCTCCACACCCTGTGTCTGTCTCCTCCTCCTCCTCCTCTGGCTGCAGAAGGGGGATTTCCCCTGCCTGCTTTGTTCTTCTTGGCTCTGGGTACGAGGAAAATTCCTAGTACAACACTCACAGTCCTGATTTGAAGAACTTGCTACAACTCAGAAGAAGCAATATGGGGTGGGTACCTGGAGGCATTGACTAACAGCCAATCCCATGAGAGTGTTTCCCTCCAGAGAGGATGCTAAAGGGAACTTCAAATCCAAGGCTATAATCTCTCCTCCCTCTCTCCCCCACTCTTCTCTTAAAGACAAAGCTTCAGTAAATTCCTCCTCATTCTGGTCACGTGTTAAGCTCCTTCTCTCCTTGTTAAGCCACTGGAAGGCCTCCCAATACATCTCCATGAGAGTTGGCTGTTAGAAAACAACAAACAACAAAA